AATTGCTCAGTAGAATTAGGGGCTCACACACTTGTGTGCTTTGAGCCAGGTCTGTTGCACACTCAGGAGACTCTAGGCCTCCTCTTTTTCTCCTTTGACAAACCGGGTCCTTGCTCCGCCGGGTCCAAAAATTCCCTGTAACAACTTCTTTTACCTTTCCATCCTCCTCGGCATGTCCCTCATTCAGTGCTCCTGTTATCTTCTGTGTGTAAACAGGGAAGAAGGTGCTACTAACGAGACAGTATTGGGCCTGGTCAGAAGACAGGATATTCTGCAGTAAACACACTTTTAATTTTATGTTTTTCCAGTAACACTCAGGATTTTGGTTACTGATGCTCAGACTGAAGCTTCAGACAGGAAGATTGTTCAGCTCTTGTAATGAACCCAGTAGCATCAGAAGGTCTTTTTCCTGAAACCCTCCTTAAACCAACTTCTTAAAGCCTCCCCTTGCCACTTTGCAAATGGGAATGTAGAGATAGGTCATGTTTGGTGGTTTGGTCATGGTCTGTGGCAAGAGGTTGGTGGGGCTGGGAATAAATACTTGTTCTTTATCCTGCCTGCTCTGCTTCCTAATCTCTGGATTAGGTAGTGAAGGATGAGGAATTCCTAGGTGGGGAGACATGTTAAGACTGTAATTCTGAAGTTTAATAGGCAGTAGCCTCCTCAGGGTTTTTTTCTCACAGAAGATCTCTGGTCATGAACTCTGTAATCAGTTTGTTGATCTATGAATGCAGAGCATTGGTTCTGTGATTTATTATTTATCTTTCCAAAATTGTAAGGACCAAAGAAATTTGAATAGGGTACTATTTTATGGTTCATTTGTTCTTACGTTTTGGGTTTTTTCCTGCAGTGACCCACAGCTTCCCTCTGTGTCAGCGCCTCTTATGGTACAAGGACTGCTTGCCCTCACTGAAAACCATCCAGAGCCTGTCTTGTACAGTGGTTTCCATTTACTGTCAGATTTGGTTCAACTGGGAACAGCCATGGATTACTTTTACTTTTCCTGTACTTGTTTTGCCTACCTGCTGTATGCGAGTGTGTGTTTGGCGTTGCATTTCTCGTGCCTCTTGCCCTTGGGGTTTGTGCATCCTGTAACTGGCAGTCTGTCTGCAGGCCACCAGCGGTGCACAGGTCCTGGGTGGAGGAGCACTGCTCAACACCTCTTACTAAAGCAAGTCCCAAGCATCAAGATTTCCGCCAACTCTCACTGCTAGAAAACTACATTTCCCAAGCCATATTGAGTCTGCGACTTACCCATCGTCACATCCCATTGCTCCTCTCACTGTTGCTGAACTTCACCCGAAATAATCCCCTCCTTGGCACCATCACCCTGGTTTGAGTACTCTTCCACCTCTCTCTTGCAGGTTAGCTGTGTTACTCATCCTGTAACCATAATAAAGGTAGTTTTTTTGTTGTTGCTCCAGCAGTGCTCTGACAAAGCCCACCTCAGACATCCCAGAGCTGCCCCAACACCATGCAGAGGGAGGCGATGGCTGCCTGTCACCCGAAACCTGTTAGTGCCAGCTTCTCTGCTGTCCTCAGAGGTCCTCACTTCCCCTGTGCTTGGGGTAATCTCAGCCGTCTCCTCCATTCACAGGTGGTGGAGGGACAACGTGAAGGTAGCAACGGAAGAACAGAAATGGCAGCTGAGAAGACCGATGTAGAGAAGAAATGGGGATGGGCTGAGAAAAAATGCAGAAAGTAAAAAAGAGGAGAGAGAGCTCTCTACGAGATCAGATAATCTCAAAGAAAAGGGAAAATAATTTTAGGAAAACACAGAAAGCAGACATCACAAAGTTTGTGCCAAGGCATACAATAAAAATGAGGACAGAGACAGGGAGGAACGCAGTGGCAGCATTTTTACTTTCAAATTTAATTATGATTTGTTGTTTCTAACAACAAAAATGCAACAGATGCTTTTGGTACTTGTCTGAAGTGAGAGCTGAACCCTCCCCTGATCTGAAGAGTCTGTCCTTGTTGCTGTTAAGTTGGCAGTTCTGGACCTGACACGGTCCACCTGGAGTCGTGGCTGTATTTCAAAGGCAGGTCTCTGAGAGACCACCAGGCACTTGGAAAAGGAAGAAATACCACTCTCTTAAGTGTACTCTATAAAAATGTACAGCCTTTTATATCACAGCAGTCATTGGAGAGAGATTTTTTTTCTGCTGGTAACTTTAGTTCAGTAAAGGTTGCATGAAGATAGGCTTAATAATTAGAGTTATCAATTTATCATGTAATTCAATGTATGTACCTAAAGGGATGGAGGAAGTGCCTGAGTTTTAGTTTCAGATCCAAAGTGGAAAGCATAGAAATTGCATTTGTTATAATCTCTTGAGAACTATGGGCATTTGTACGTAGCCAAGGATGGAAGATGAGGCAGAGTCTTTTCCAAATTTGCCGTTTTAGAAGAAGCCTCTTCCAGCCAGCAGCATCCCAACACCCAGCTCAGAGCTGAGTGACGATGGCAGAAGAGCAGCAGTGTTGGCTGCTGTCACTCTGAGAGCAGGAGCTTGGTGATGAGGGAAAGCTTCAGCGTGTGTTTGCCACCCTGGAAGGAGGAGAAGATCATCATCACTGGTAGCTGGAGGACTTTTTTATGAGCCTACATCTACCTTCAGAACTGCAGTGTGGACAGTTAAACTTACAGCAGCAGCTTTCTAGCTTTAGGCCGTGCTGAAATCTTGTGCTGAGCAAGGGTTTGTTTGTCCTCAGGTCTGGCTGTGAATTAACGATCTCTTTTAGAGGTTTCAGTGGGCTAGGATTGCCTTCTTGGTGGAGAAAATGCCAGCGCTGTGCAAAGTCAGCAGGAGCACTTTGAGATGCTAAGAGTCTTCTCTGCTACTTTTTGTTGATCCAGGTCGTCTTTTCTAAGTACAAAGTCAAAGAAGAGACTGTTTGTGCCTTCCTTCATCTCCCCCCACAAGTGTCATTTAATCGGGATCGCTAAATTCTCCCTGTCTCCCGTTCCTATTTGCATGGGAGGGAAACGGAGGGGAGTGAGGTGGAACCATACGTCCCTCTGCATCTGCACGCTGAAGACAAAGATATTTGTGAGCCCGAAGCATATGGGTGGGAGAGCTGCCAAGCCAAAGTTGTTCCCAAGTATCTGTAAACTAAATCTGATTCCTTGGATTCATCCAACTAAGGAACTTTTGCTCTGGCAAAGGCTTGTAAATATTACAGTACCTGTCACTTTTGGATGCCGCTTTCTGTTTTCATAGCAGTGGACTGAAAGCTTTGAAGTCTGGGATGTTTTGTTTAGCTTTGTAGAGCTTGACCTCAAAGCATCAATCTTTTTGCTCCGTTTTGGATGAAAATAGTCTTCTTTTTTTTTCTCTTTCTTTTTTTTTTTTCAGAGGACTTCTTATAGCAACAGTATTGCTCATAGCCAGAGTTCTCAGATATCCTCAGAGCTTTAAAGCATGTATTGAGATATGTATACCAAAATATGGAGAGTTTTGCCTCTCTGCTGTTTTTGGTGTTTCAATTTTCTGTTTGAGGGACATGCATAAATATATACTTAAAATAAAGTGAAAAGAATTAATCAAAACAACTCATAAAGTGGTTTCTGGATGCGTGCTGCTCTCAGGGTATATAGAGTATATAGTTCATTTTACTGGGGTTTTAGTTTATGGGTACTTTTCCGTTTCTGTACAGAAACCCACCTGTTTGGATTCTCTGTGCTCGCTGGTGATGTGAATGTTAATAGCAGTCACATTTTGCTTATTTTCAAGACAAGTTGCTGGTTGATACAAACCTGTGACTTGAGTTTGCCAGGTACAGTTCCTCCAATCATCTGTGCTGGTCACCAATTGCTTCTTGTCACGCTGTGTCTCTTGAAGTGAGGCTCAGAAGTGAGTTTTGGCAGACCCGTCCTGTATTGCAGTTCAGTACTGCACAGATAACTCCAATCACAACTCATTTGTTGTGAGCACACCTGACCACAGCTAAACCCCATGGAGGCCATGCTTTTGGACTGTGCTCACTGAGGAGTTAAGTTGGATGGTTGCTCTTGCTTGGTTGATGTTCTTACTTTGACTTTGTCAGTGTGTGCACAGCCTTTGTCTGAAAGGGCCCGCTGACCTGTCCAGAGCTGTGGCCAAAGCCAAGGTTCTCTTTGCCCTTGAAGCTGCAACCCAGCCCTCTTGAGCGGTGGAGATTTATGCTCAAGTACTTTGAGTCCTCCGGTGCTTTTTCCCTTTGCTGCTGCATTCCTCAGGGAATCAAAGTTCTCCTGCAGTGACCAGGGCTTGAATCCTAGAGCAGTGCAACCCATTGAGTCACTGAGGGCTGGATTGTGACTCCAGCCTTCCTGCAACCCCATGTGAACACGCACAAAGTCAGCAGAATCACCCGGAAGCAGCCCCACTGTGTTAAATTTTACCGTGGTTCCCGTGTTTTTTCTCTTTAACCAAAGTCCACTGAGCAATCTTGCCAAGGTGCCGCAGCGGTGCTCTGACTGGCTTTGCCAGCCCAAATGAGCACTGGTTTCATGGCAGAGAGGTCCCAGTGGTTAAGGCTGGCACCTTGGCTGAAGTAAATCCACACTGAAATCTGCCACCTGAGGGGCCCTGCAGTGATGATGGCTTTGGGAGACTGCCTGCTCCTGCCACACTCACTGTCCATTCAGGTTTTTGTAAAATGCTTGAGAAAATTATGCTTGAAGGCATAATGTTAAGAGCTAAGATCCCAGTTGTTTTTCACCTCACTGGCTAAGTCTTCTGCAGCTACATATTCCTCAGCAGGTGATCGTTTTTGCTGCCTAACTGTGAGAAAACATGCTTTATGTTGCTATTTAGATTATCTGAAAATTGGGCCTTTCACATTCTGAAACGTTTCCAGAAACCCGCATTCAGGCCTGGCTGCTAATCCTTCCGGTGCTTTAGTATAGACTGTTGAAGTCAAGCTGACTCTCAAGAGGCAGTTAGTGTGGAGGGAGCTAGTAATGAAGCAGCTGAGAAGCCCCTCATCTCCATTTGAGTCTTTTTTTTGTCTTGCAGATGAGAGGATCTGTTCACCACCCTTTATGGAGCTGACAAGTGCCTGTGGAGAAGATACCTTGCAGCTTATAGAGAAGAATGGACTGGCATTCCCATTCAGTATGTACATGGGCTTTTCCTTGGTGCTTCTAGCAGGTTCTGAAGTTGCTCATGCACTCCCCAAGACACAGCCAACACTGTAGGAGTGTGGGTTTCATTGCCAAAGTGTCAGGGATGTTAAAACCTTCCCGAAACAAACACTCTGAAGCAGTCTGCTTGGAATGTGGAGCAAACCCCTTCCCTAGCAGCTTTTACTTTGCCTTTTATTGATGTTCCTTGCTTTAAACACCTCGCTACAGTAAACATGCGTTCCTGGGAAATGCTAATAGTTCTAACAAAGTTAGCCTCTTGCCCTGAACTTGTGCAGGAAGTTTCTTTGCCAGCTGTATTCATTATTTTTCTTGAGAAATCACTGCCTTGCTGACTGCCCTCGTTTTTCACTCACCTCTCCCTTTCCCTGGTCCAGACTACAAATGTAATCTTAAAGGATAGAAGAAAAAGTGAAAAAATGACCATAGATAGCAGGCTCCAAGGGCACACAGCCTCAAACAGCTGCTATGAACTGTTTGTGCTTTGTAGCAAGTTTCATTGTGGGGCTTGTGCTTTAATTCATTCCTTTATTTGATTCCTTGCAGTATAAAGTGAGCAGAATCGGTTAGTCGATGTTTGCTCCCTTGGTGCTTGCCTCATTTGTAAGGTTCAGAGGTAAAGTCGTGTGGAAAAAGCATGTTTTACTCTCCCTGCCATGGCTCTCCCAGATGAGGCAGGTGAAGCTAGATTGGGAAGCAGTAATTAAAAGTCCACTGAAAGGCTTTGACCCCCTTTCCTCACCCATGCATGATGTCCTGTCGATACAGGTTGGTTATTGCTCAGCAGTCAGCAGCATAGCCCATATATTCAGAAGGCTGGAATCAACCCCTCTAAATAAGGATGAAATTTAAAAGTAACTCTGAAAATTAATATAACATGGTATTGTGGGAGTGCTCTTTCTGTTCTCTCTCTCTCTTTTATTCTTTCTTTAAAATGCTGCTGCTCTCCAGAGTATGCATTTGTGAGACATCATAAACCACTTTCCAGGATTTCAAGTTGCCAAATTATTTTGGACTCTAGTGCAGGTCATCTGCCTTTCATAGCTGCCTGTCCTCTTGCCCGGCAATTTGACTTTTCCTACAACCCCCATTGAAGTCTTGTCCTATTCACCCCCTTACTACTTACAGGTTTTTATCTCCTCTGCTTAACATACAAATCACATCAGCTCTGGTCATCGTGTGGGTCTGAGGGTCTTCAACTCTCCTCTGGTTTTGTAATAGCTGGAGCTTGTTTCTTTCCTCTTACTGGTTTTTGGATGAAGGTGAGAACCAGGATATACAGAGCAGATAAGGAATATGAAGGAGAAAGAACTGTTGGGCTCTTTACATTTTTTTGTCCCCCTCTGTGGTTGCCTGCAAAAAATATGTTGTATCTTAGTCTGGTTCAGCCCATTCAGTTTCCTGCTCACCCCCAAAACCAGGGAGTCAGGAAATGAAGTTGGTGTCCTCTGTGTCCCAGTTCCCTTGTTTTTGGAACAGTGGTGTTTTGTGGTACCTGTAAAGCAGCTCCAGCCTTGGGCAAAAATCACATACTTGTGAGGATGCCCCCTGAGTAGGCAGGATGCAATAGCAGTACTGGTACTAACTTCATAGCTGATGCTTTGCACCTCTGTTGGGTCCTAATAATGAGCTCTGCTTGCACCTCAGTTACAGGGAGGGATTGAGAGAGTAGGGCTTGGAGCAAGCCAGGCTTTGCAGTGCTTGAGGACACTGCTCAAGCAGAGACTGGTGTTTGGTACAGTCACTGCCTTGGTCTGGTGAACTCCAGTGTTTGCACATGTGGGTGGGATTCTGTGTGTCCTGTTTCAGTGATGCATTGTTTTCTCTGTTTTATTTACCCAGTTTGTAAAACCAGAGTGGCCCATGGAACCAACTCGCACGAGGTGAGTTAAAAAACTTTTGCAGTTTTATCCCCCTTTGGCCAATGCTTTCCCATCCTGGAGTAGGCAGAATGAGGAAAAACTTCCCTTCTCTTGCCTCTCCTTCATGTTTAATTAAACCATATGTTTTCAGACTTATCTGAAATTAGGTTAAATATTACTTTAACCTCTTGACATGGAAGTTCTTTCTAGCAATTTCTAGCCTCTATCATCTGGTTGCTTCTAGCAGTTTGTAGTCTCAAGTCAGCTCTGTCTGCAAGAAATCTTCTTCAGCCTCTCCTTTGGTGGGAGGTCACACTAAGTGATGTTCCCACCCCACCATGCTTCTTTTCCAACATGTATGTGGTACAGGCAAGAAATGGTTTTGTGCTGCAGATAAAGCAGCTGGTTCCTCTCCTTGAGGGGAAGGGCAAATAGAGATGGTTTTCAGGCATGTTCAGTTGTAATAAAACAGTTGGAGCTGTGGGGAGAGCAGGGCTGGTAGAAATGTCTGCCTTCCCTCCTTCCCATAAGGCAATTGCAGTTCAAATGCTTGTGTATTCCTGGAAGGAGAGCATTCCCTGTGAGCCCACCTTCCTCTAAATTTAGGTGAGTTAAGTCCTGTTTTAATTCTTTTCCATTTGTGCTTCCTGCCTTCCTGCTCACCACAGCTCGGTTCGGAGAATCCAGCCCTCGCTGCTGGCTCTCCTAACGCCTGGCTTCCTTTGTTAACAATGTGGTCCTTGGTCCAGGTTTCCCAGCTGCTCCCAAAACGTGTGCTGTGCTGCTGCAGCATCTCTAGGAGCTGAAAGCCCCAAAGTAAATGTAAATCTAGACGAGCTGCAGCTGAAGTCTTGAGTGACCAGCACTTCCTTTTAAAAATGCAGTGAGATTTTTCATGTGGGCCTTAGCTTGGATCATTTTACAAGCCGACAGATGCTCCTGTTAGTTTGCCGGAGCAGTCGCTATAAATTTTCACCATCATTCCTGAGAACACTCGAGCATTGGGTTGTTAATGAATTTAAGACTCCAGCTTCCCTGCTGATGTTTCTGTCAAGATTTCCTCTGCAACTGCAGCCTGAAATGCATGAACCTTTCAGTGCCTGTCCAGTCAGACTTGGACTTCATTTCCCTGGTGGATCTTTCTTTGCTCTTCTTTCATACAATACAGGCATGCCTCAGCCTCTTGCCAGAATTCCATTTTCTGAGGAGAAATTAGACTAATATACAGTTGTAGGCTGCACTTTATCACAAGAACTCATGACTAGAGCTTAGGAGGACCCCTTGGAAAGAACCTGAAGTCTGGCATGGTACTTTACATAGTTAGGAGTAGTAGTCACTTTTGGAGTTGCTGTGTCCTCAGGAGTGATCCAAAAGTGCATTTATGATCAGAAAGGAACTGTCTTGTGATTGCTATTTTGTGGTAAATAATGGCAAGGGAAGTGTAGAATAAATACTTTGCTTACAGTACAGTCTGTCTAAAGATGGAGCATAGGTCTAGAAGCGAGAAATTGTTGTGTGCTTTATTAATGACTCCTTCACAGAATCACAGAATATTAGGAGTTGGAAGGGACCTCAAAAAATCATCCAGTCCAACCCCCCTGCCAGAGCAGGATCACCTAGATTAGGTCGCACAGGAGCTAGCTTCTTTAGCTTTTGGTAAATCGCTTCATTTTCTGTAGAGATATTCCCACCGCAGAGCTGACACTGGAACTAGAACAAAGCCTGACCAGAAACCTGCTTTTCTTCATAAGATAACACTTCAGAAAGTTAAAGTACTGGCTAACAGGGACAGCTGGAAGCGCAGGCTTGAGTTTGGGTTTGGTGCAGGCCAAGACTGGCAGACTCCACAATTTGCAGTGAAAACACGAGCTAGTTAAGCCAAGGTGCTGTTAGTTCTTGTGGTGTCCCATGGTTCTACATGGCTTCTGCACTGAAAGTCATGTCAAGCCAGCTCAGCACTTGAACCCCACTTTGCCAGCACTGTTCGTTAGACTTGAACAGAGGTGATGCCTGAAGGTTGTCCTTTCCAGCTGCCAGCAGATCAAAACCGTTGGTAGAGCTGCCATCAGTGAGACTAATAACCTGAAGAAATGTGTCCAGAATTACCCTTTTTCTAAGTGTTGAGCAGACAGGAATGAAAAGGCAGAGAATCATAGAATCACAGAATGGTTTTGGTTGGAAAAGACCTTTAAGATCATCGAGTCCAGCCATCAAATCACTGTGGTTTTTTGACTGAATTCCTTAAGGACATTGCCAGTAAAAATTCCTGGTTCTGGATGTTTTGTTCTGCCTTCAAAAGAGCTCTGCATTTCTGAGGAAAGCTATTTGGAAATCATGATATAAAGTATTGTTCCCATGTTACTGCCAGGCACAGCAGGTCTGTGCTAGATGACAAAGAGCAAGTGCACCCTGCAAGCGAGTTCTTCAAGCTCTATTCATGCATGCTAAAAACCATGTGACATTGCAGTGAACCAGCATAACACAACACCATGGGAGGTACATGGGTTGTGTGCTGGTCCATGGGGATGTCAGCACGGAGCTTTGCAGAAGAGAGGTTTCACATGGTTTCCAGTTGCCTTGGTTCAGTTCTCTGCCAAGATAAAAGTCTGAGTTTGCACACTACTAAAATAAGATGATAATTACTGGCTCATCTTATGTTTGTGGGGATTAATTAACTACTGTGGGGATTAATTAACTGATATTCTAAGAGAACGCTATAGGAACAGCACGGTTCTTGCCAATACAATGTTGTAGATACTATAATGCCAACAGTCTACACAGGAGGAGGAAGAGAGCAGTGTTTCTTGCCACCAGTCAGAGACAGGTGAGGTATGATGATGTTGTTGCTGTGAATCGTCTCAATGGACGATTCTGCTGCTAGAGTAGGTTTCTTGCACAGGTTGTTACCACTCACAAGTTCACTCTGTGCTGACAAATAGATAGCATCTGGTATAGTAGAGACAGAGTAAGAATATCACTGCAAGTGGGTACTGAATGCATGCATCGACTTGAACTCAGAAGATGTTAATCCGCAGAGTCATTGTGCATGCGTGCAGACAATTATGTGATCTAATGTGGATTACCAGATAAGGAGGAATCGGGACAAAAATGTGCTCAGACTTTTAACTATGAATATGTAATTACTGCATCATTTACCATGGCTATGTTTTTGAACAACAAAACCTATTATATTTACTGTTTTCATTACAGGAACAAAATAAGGTATTAGCAGAAATTCAGTCTAAAAGTACAGCGTACATCAAGTGGGCCGCTAATCTTATATAATATATGAAAGAGGGAGCACAAAGTGCTAAAGTTTCTTTGTAAAATCCTTCCAGTGACCCTGGCTTCACTAACATACAGGTAATCTCAGAAAGCACAAAACTGACAGGAAGCATATGGAAAGAGCGAGCAAAAAGTATAACTCATCTGCACCGTGCTGAGGCAGGAAGCTCCAGTTTATTCTGTGTATTGCTGTGGAGTCGCTGTAGGACCCAGAGTACAAGTACAAAGTAACTGTACAAAGTAATTTTATCACCTTTGCCAGAATGGTGCTTGCTGCTGGTTCTGTGTAGGAGCCATGGCAGCATCCATACTCCTACAACAAACCTGATGATGATAATCATATATGCATGTAAGCATGGCAATGGAGGAGTTGATGGAAAGAGCAGTGTAGTATGTGCTGACTCAAGATATGCTGGCTCATCAAAGTACTTCTGTGCACCTACCAGCATCACCTCCGTGCTGTTTAAGGCAGCAGTTGTTCATCATTCAGGCCCTGTAAATGCCTTCTTTTTTGGCGTATTTGTTCCAGTCCCTTCAAGAGGACTATCCATTTGGAGTGATGGGGTGAAACCAAGCCATGAAAATCATTAGGCCGGCATTTACTGACAGTAAAAACTACTAGAGTTTGAAAATGGACTCTGATGGTGTGGGTGAAACCCTGGAGCTTAGGCCATTGCAACTGGGCTGAACCAAACCATGGGAAAGAGAGCTGTGGGGAAGAACACGTATGGTTAATTAACAGAGCTGTTCCTGCTGTTAATACAGGCTTGTCTTCAATACAAACTTTGTGGTCTGTGTTGGTCAAATGTTTTACCCATTTGTTTTACCTGCAGTGGCAGTAGCTTCCCAACTGAAAGCAGCAAATTAAATTGCAAATAGCTGAGGAGAAAACGTTGGTAGAAAATGAAAGCTGCCCTGCCAGTAGGGTTTGAAGAGTTGTGTGTCAGTGAAATGAAATGTAATGAAATAGGACAAGCTGCTGAGAAGAAATTCACACGTGGTCAATATATATCCGCCAGTAGATGTTCCCCCTCACTGCTAGTCAGGTGGTGGGTAAACATGAAATTATTGACAGGCTTGTGCCCGACTGTGTGTGCGTGTTTCCAGATGGCGATCATCTTCAACCAGGAGGGTCTGAAAGCTGTTCGCCCCCCTTGCGTCATTCAGAGCTTCATCAATCACAATGCTGTGCTGTATAAAGTCTTCGTGGTCGGGGAATCCTACACAGTGGTGAAAAGACCATCTTTGAAGAACTTCTCTGCAGGAATCTCAGGTACATTGTGCCTATTTAATAGGATATGTCAGTTCTTGCAGCCTTGGCAGCAAACAGCTCAATAGAAAAATAGCTTTGAAAAGGTTGCTGAAGTGAAGGCAGCTGGTTCTTACATACCATGTTTACTCTTCTGTATTATTTCAATAGGAAGGGAGATAACTCATCTGCTCTGGAATACATACGAATGACATTCGTATAGTAAATATTTATGTGATGGTAACCTGAGTCTTACCTGTTAGAAACAGTGTTTTATGTCATGTGGAAAGGGGGAGAGGGAGAGAAATTCTCTCATTTCACGGTAGGTTCATGTGTCATTTGTTCCGGAGTTTGTTTATAAATGTGCTTTGGAGAGAATTTCCTGGATCCCATCATTTTAGAACTTCCTCTCCCTATTTTTACCTTGATTATGTATGTGTGTTTAAATTAGAGATCACTTGTGCTCTCCCGTAAACGAGCCTCTCTGTTCATGTGAAGCCCAGTGTTGTAAACCATGGCGGGAAGTGTCCTTTGGTTTGTAGATACCAGCTGTGTTGAGGGGAAGGAGAGATGGATTTATCAGTGAGGACAGTGGTCCTCCTATGTGTCACTGGAAAGCAGCACTGGAAAGGCTTTCATTAAAGGTTACTTAAATTTCTTTACTGGAAAAAAGTCTCCTATCTAGAGAACTGCATTCTGTGGCCCATCAGAAGCAAAAAGAAATTAACAGTGCACGGATGGGAGTGTGATCTGCCTGCAGCTGGACAAATCCAGGAGCTGGGGATAGGAGGGGAGAAGGTATCCAGCTAAAGGAGATGATGCCAGTTTCTTGTCACTTTTCTTAGTGGTTTCTGCTTATCTTAGTGTGCCCATATGTGCTCACCATCGCATTCTGCACACAAACATGTATTTTGTTAATACATATACTAGAATCCTAGTAAAAGTCCTTGTCTATAGGTATGTATACCTTTATTTACATTTAAGTCTACTCTGTATCCTGATCAAATTAAGTAGGCCAGAATCTGGGTTCATATAAACTATTAGGACACTTAATCTATACTTTTGCTGGAAGGGAACATTTTAAGCCATCTTTCTAAAAATGCCTCCGCTAATGTCTTGTCTGTTAGTGTAAGACCTGAAAGTTCTCTGGAAGTCCACATAAAAATAAGTTTTGTGGGCAGATTAGGATAAGGTTCTGGTTTCTTACCCTTTTCAGGAGAGTTTAAGGGGACCGTGCTACAAGCACCTGACCAGGCAGATGCGATGGTTAAACAGATCTGACAGCTGTGAGGCACTCCTGGGACTTTGGTCCAGGTGTTCCCATGCGGGTTGTCTGTATGGTGCCATCAGCCTGCTGTGGTGGGAGTCCCAAGGGGACACTTGTGGTGGATTTCTCCCCACCAGTCAAACCTCCGGCACAGAGGAGCAGGGTAGGACGTGCTGGTACACTTCTCCCCATGGTTTCCGCTGTGGTATGTCAGTGGCTTCTGTCACCTCAGAATGTCTCCCCCATTCCTGTGGTGCCTCCAAAGGGAGGGGATGTTCTGAGCATGAAATTTACTGCTTTCCTCCATGGTGACAGTGTCCTCCCCAGGGATCTTGGTCTGCCCTGGGTGCTGTGGATCTGCTGCCTGCAGTGAATGCAGCTTCTCCCTTCTATCACACACCTTCTCATTGGAATTGTCACTTTGAGTAGAACAAATTAGTAGAAATGAACTTCATTATCTTCCTGAAGTGAGTTAATTGGCTCTGGTGCCAGGCAGGAGAGGCCCAGTGGGTGGGCTGGGTGGCAGGGGGCTGCCCAGTGGGGATCCAGCCTAGATTCCCAGGGCTGCAGTGCCATCTGCTGTTCCTTGCATTGATCCTTCGGAAATTAAAATCTGGTATAAAGTTATTTACAACCTTCTTTTAATTCCAGACAGAGAATCAATATTTTTCAACAGCCACAATGTTTCAAAACCAGAATCCTCATCCGTCTTAACAGCAGTAAGTACGCTTGGTCTTTTTCCCTCTGGCGCGGCTGGAAAACTATCTCGTCCTTTCTTATTGAAGCGTTAGCAGCTAGTGACTCTCCTTCACAAGTTGTCTGCTTCTGTGTTGCAGGCTGAGGTCTGTTTGGTACAAGGAACCAGCATGACTGTGTCCCCCTCTGGTTTTCCTTACCGAGCTCCGGTGAGGAAGCACTGATGCAGCAGGGCTGTGCTGCTTGCCAGGCTTAAACTCCCCAGAGCTAATCTAGGCAAAGGGAAGAAGGAGGTTCTGAGCGCAAATACCTGGCCTTTTCCTGTCCAGAGGGCTTAATGAGCATAAATCATCCTTCTAGGACTCAGTTCTGTGAGGAAAGACAAATGGTGAAAATTCAAGCAGAGAAATTGCATTGGGCAAGGCCACAGAGGGCCGGTAGCTGTCTGTGGTGCGAGCACACCCGAGCTGTGACCTCGGGACCGTTTTTGGGTGTCTTCTGAGTCCAGCAGTGCCAGCACGCTGCACAGTTTCATGCTTGCATTAGCAGTCCTTTTAATGAGCTTTGCACGTGTGAATCCCAACTAACCAGTTCTCGGGCACTCGACTGCTGAGAAAGTCACTTTACAGCACTGGGTCCTTTCAATCTCTGAGTCTCCAGATTCTTTTCTGTTTCACAAGCTCTGCTGGGAAGTAGTTTTGTAATTGGAGATGATTAAATTTTAAGTTGTGTGCAACACATGCTAAATATTAAAACTGTAATTGTGCTAGTAAAAATCCCTTTATGGCTAAATTTGCTTTCAAACTTAAGGAGATAATATGCTCCTGTGGTTTACTTGCCATCTGTCTCATACATGTGCATATTCCATACGCGCTTCTGTAGGCATAGCAGCATTCTTCTGCTGTGTAACATGTTGTTTAAAAAGTGAAGAAAATGGCATCTCCCAGTCATAAGTAACCTGAGTTACTTACTGTAATAAGTGTTTATAGAATAATTGATACATGAAGACCCACATAAAAGATAGCCCCTTTGGATTAGCCTCTGCCCTGAACATATCGGCTGAGTAGTATTGTATGCCTTGGATTAAACTAACAGCAGGAGTCTGTTTTATCAGCCCTTTAACATAGACCTTAATCTGCATTGAAATAACAGAATGATATCCAGAATATTTGCAGTACAGTGTTAAACACTCCAGCTGTATTTGGTTGGGTTTTTTTAAGATGCAGATCTAGTCCCTAAAATAGTGAGTCTGATTCTCTGGTTTCTACAGTGCTCTCTTAAGGAGCTGCACCAGTATGAAGAGGAAGAAGTAGGGGCTTTAGAGCAGGTGAATTTCCAATATAGGCAGGATTCTGAATTACAAAAGCAGTTTCTCTTTGGCCTCTTTCTCTGTCTCATGCCACTGGTTCTCTGCATTTAGATTTGGTGGATATGCACCTGGAAACCTCTGAAAATTAATCTTTCCGCTAGAAAGACTGTTGTGGAGTCCCTTAGTAATGTGTATTTTCCCACTATAGCTGGATAAAATTGAAGGAGTATTTGAGCGGCCAAACGACGACGTCATCCGGGAAATCTCTAAGGCGCTGCGGCAAGCTCTGGGAGTTTCCCTCTTTGGAATTGATATCATCATTAACAACCAGACGGGGCAGCATGCGGTCATCGATATCAATGCATTCCCAGGTGAGAGGCGTCTTCCCACTCACGCTTTGTGGAGACCCTGCGGTGTGTGCTTAGTGGGAAGTTTTACTGCTGGTGACTCACATCATTGCTTCCCAGCCGGGGGACAGGAGAGCAGCAGCCGGGTTTTTCCAAGATCAGATACTGTTTAATTTGGAAAGGGCGGATCCTAATCTGGATATGAATATGCTACTGAATTACCAGCTCTTATGGTTGTATTTTAGTGGCCAGCTGTGACGTGGCTGTCATGGCCTTCCCTGCAAAGGGGTGCCCAGGAATTGAGGCATGAGACTGTGTGCTGGGACCTGGTCTTTCTGTGCCTGTCGCTCATTCTGAAGATGAAAAGAAGAATAATAAATTTTAATTTAGGAAACCCTTTTAAATTTTTTTTCCACCCTCTGTACCAACAGAAGTGTTGAGGGGGTGGAAGCAGCAAACTGTTCCCTTGAAAATCTCTTCCTGTTCAAATTGATTCCCCATGAAAAGGCATTTTGTGCACAAAAGCAACACCACCAGCAAATTGAAGAAGATAATAAAATTATAGGTGCACAGAATTTGCTGTAAAAGGGTTAAATATCCTTGTAGGTTATCATAAGTGAATCCTGAAGTAAAACAAAAGAATAGAGCATGTGAAAATGGGTAAAGTGTCCTTCACTTTTTGTAGTGCAACATATTTCTTGGAAAGAACTAAGTGAGCTCCTTGACCAGTGGCATTGTTAAAAGGTGGTGTAAGTGTGTATAATGGGAGGTAGTAATCGTCTGTCAGTTGTGCTAAATTCAGTAACCTAACACAGGAAAAGAATACATCATCCCATTTGATGCTGTTTTGCGTGGGGTTTTTCTCTTTGAGAATCAACTCTCATTTCCTGAATAGTGATGTTTGTTTCCAGGGCCATGCACAGGCTGTTACAGTTTGTTTAATGTTTCATTGAAGACTTTGAGTTTTCTATATGGTATCTTTACATCCAGAGACCTTGCCCTGAGCTCCCAGTCTTCATCTTTCAATCCAGCTCCTCAATCCCCTACTGCCCGGTAGTGCCTTGCCTGTCTATCTCCACAGTGACTGGCTTCCTTTTAAAACTCTAGCCCTGCTATACTCAGGTCGCTTTGCAGCTTGGTTCTACCATATCATGTTGCTGCGATCTGCAGACCTACAAAAAGAGTCTTCTGCCAAGAAGCAACCTAAACTGGGTGTCAGATAGAGCCAAATCAGCTTTATGAATGGGATTATATTTCAGACACTGGGTCTTGAATTCAGTGATGCAGGACATTCTTTTGCAATCCTGCATCCTACGTTTTGGTTTGGTGTTTTGGGGGTTTTGTTTTCCAGGTATTGTTTTGGATTTGGTACTTTGCACAGACTGAAATTCCCCTTTTCCTGAAATGCTGTAAAGTCTAGATTGAAGAACAGCTAATGGCAAACATAACTATTTGTGGCAGAAGTTTGCAGAACTGCCTTCAGTCTTGTGCTCTGCTCTACTTCTACCGTAAGGCAATACTTGAGAGCGTGGGGAAGCTGCTTCTGCACAGGTCTACATTGTGTCTTGCTGGATTTTTTTGGTGGTGAACATGTGGATAGTGAAGGTAGCTGCTGGCTTTATCACCATGGGATAGGTTGAAGACCAGTTGGAGAAAGTCTAGAGGATAGCAGCAGAGACCAGACGTATGGAAGAGAGAAGGCCGGAGGTAGACAAAACTGCCCTCAAATTTGTAGAAGGTAGCAGAACTGAGAGACATGAGCTGCTCTCAAGTGCTGCTGAGGTCGAAGAAGCAGCAACGGGGTAAAACACAACAGAAGAAAAGTTACATCTCAACACAGAATAGTCTGTTGCCCAAAAAGCATGTTCAGCCATGTTCAGCATGCTGCATTTCCCTCCAGGAGCCAGTGTGTTTAAAAGCTGAGCAGCTTCAAGGCCTGGCTCCATTGATGGAGCTAGCACCTTGCTACTGAGAAATTCAAATTCAGCCCTGCTCAAAAGAGTCACTGGTGGGCTGCATCAGCAGAGGGATCTCACTGTTCCTGGATCAGTGCGATCCCAGGAAGGGGCTATCCCTTCTCTTCCTCAAGTCATCTTGTCCTGCAGTGGTTACAGAAGAGCTGAACTGGAGCCAAGTTAGACCCTGGTGACTGTACCTAATGTCAGGCTGCAGAACATGCACACAGGCTGCTGCTTGGGTTGGTGAGCTCAGCCATGGCCACAGGGCAGCACACTGTGCAGAGCCTTTTCTCTGTCACCTGAGCTCAGACAAATATAAACCCTCATACTACGTGACTGTGCCTGCAGTTCAATATCTCAGCTGATAACCACAGCTAAATATAGGCCCAGTGGTTTTCCATACGACAGGAAACACAATAGTCCTTTTAGACATTTATCTTGAAAATCTTCTAAAGAGTTGCTGGTGCTAGTGGAACATCCTGCTGCAGGTACATCTGCTCTTAATTCTGATGAATTCTTGATGATCTCAAGATGATACACACGGAGTTGCAAGTTCAAATGAGCTTCATGCCTGGTAAACACCAAAGACAGCAGTCAGGGAAGCCAGGCTCTTGATCCTGCACAAGGCTTTGGTCAGGCCTGGCCCCAGCTCCATGAAGAGGTGGTGAATGCTCCTTAAAGGGTGCATTTTCCCCCTCCCTTCCCCAAAGCAGTGGTGCAGAGATAATGTAGCAGGTCACATCTCTAATACCATCTTAAAAATGCTCTTAGGCATTTCTTGACTCCCCAAAGCTCAGGGGAGCAGGTACTTGTTTCCAGTTGCATTGCTGGGTGGACTTCCTTCCTATCCATGCTTACCCAGAGGACTCTGGAGGCTGTTTTCAAGACAGCAAAATTCAGGGCTCTTGTAGACAGGCATTTCCAGAATGGTTTCAGCGGGCAGTGCTAGGATAGTCCCTGCTGGAGCACGATTCATGCAATTTGTGCGCTGAGGCATTTAAAATTTACATCCTCCCACTGATGTTTTGTGTGAGATTCATTGCCAGTAGTTTAAAGATGTAATTTAATCTGCCCTTTCTTGATTTCCTTGTCAGCACAGCCCAGTGATTGCCTTTTTTTGAGAGGTCAGCAGCAGCAGCCTGTGAACAGAGCGAGGCAATGTCCAAAGACTTTGCACCTTCCCCAGGCGTCCCATGGGTCAAGAGCTGAGACACCTGGGTTCTCTTTCTCCCTTCTTGCATTTCTTACTTACAAGTGTGTGAAGTTTCTTCTGAGTGACGAGGCAGGATTATTTGCACCTTTCCACCCAATGTGCAGAGGGCTTGCACAAAGGAAGCCTGCCTGATGCGTACAGCTTCTTACCCTGTAACATCTGCTGATTTCAGGACTGAATAACTGGCCATCTTATTCCCATTAAATATTTAAAGCAACTTCTTTGTGAGTTTGCCAGGTGCCCTGAAACGAGGCTGGTTTGTTTTCAGTGAGGAGACACGAAGCACTCCAGGGTACTGTGGATCTCCTCGCTGAATATTAAAGCTGTTACTATGGAGATGGCTTATTCCCGGGTGTTTGCAGCCCTCTGAGTAGATTTGAAGGCTAATCCCATGGCTTTTACATAAGCAAGGAAGCGTAACAAGTACCTCTGTCAAGGAGGTGGAAATCTTGTTCTGGCTCCTATGGCCAGCTGTGTGAGTCCGAGGTGCCCACTGTTGACTGATGGATTATTGTGTGGATACTGAGAAACTTGATATTTTGAATTGGTCCATTTGTTTGGTGAATCTGTGTAAGGGCCTTTGAGAAAGGAAAACTTGGAGTTATCGTCTCACATGCCTGCTGTTTTCTATGACCTGTTAAGTACCTAGGAGAATTGTGACCAAGTGCAGGAAAATCCAAAGCAATGTAGCAGCCTAAATAAGAGGTAATTGGTTAATGTATGGGTTATAAATACACCAGTCACCACATTTATCTTAAGGTGAAATTATCCTCTTATGTTTTTCAGGAAGCTTGGTTTTTGCTGGAGAATGTAGATTAAAATTGAATTATTTATGTGTCTGAGGGACTCTTCTGCCCTGTGATCACATTACTAGAAGCGTTCTAAAATGTGCATTTACTTTGTGGTCTCTGGTTCTGCTCATGTGCTGCTGTGTCAATGTGTGCTATTCACATGGGACTTTCAAAGTGTTATTTATTGCTTCAGTCACCTATATTAGTACCAAGTCACCTTCAGAATACTTTCAAAGACACTTTAAAACAAACAGCCTAGCCTGTTAAATACACTGAATGCCATATGTCACTTCTAAATACTAAATCGATAACAATTTTAGGTAATGCAGTAGCAGTTAAGATCCGTTTCAAGACATTGTACCAATATGTTGCATGTCTGATTCAATTTTAAAATGAATGCAGTGATAAATGTGTACCTGTACCAGAGTCTTTAAAATGGAGCGAAAAGCTCTGTATGCCAAACTGCCACCCCTTGTGCTACCCAAAATGTCACGGCTCCTGGTATTTGAGCAACTGTTTTAACCAGGAAGTTTGTTGTCAAACTCTGCATTGTGCATTTTCAGTACTGAAATAAAATATTGATGTTTCTAGCAAACACTGTATCACTGGTATATGTTTGCTATAACTCAAGTGTTTTCTCAGCCATTGCTCGTAGCAGGGAACTTGCTTTAAGTGCCAAGTTAGGTTAGTTTAGACAAGCATCTCTTTGCTTCTTACACAGTTGGAAGCTGCCTTTTCTGTAGGGTGTAAAGCCAGCCCTGCTGCCCTCTGAGGTTTCTCTCGCTGAGGGTATTGCTGGGCAAATTCTAGAGAAGGTCCAGACCCTCAGGGAAACTGCATTAGAGCTGCTTTCCATAGTAAACCTGGAAAACAGAGTTTGTAATTTAGGGAAAAGCCTGGACTTGACAATGAATGATAGAATATACCTAAAATTATGTACATATAGATACTTGGGAGGCAAAAGAAACAGAAAATCTGAAAGGCATCAGTTTTTCTCATTGAACGGAAGTATTTTTTGTAGCAGTGTTCTCTGTTCCTCTTTACGTTAATCTCACTCAAAATGATGTCATGGAAAATTAGCCTTTTTATTATCACTTTGAGGGCAAAAACAGCCCAAAAAATAAACAGGTAGAAGAAGTCTTTCACAGAATTTATGAAAATTACTTAATTGCCTTTTTTTTTTTCTCCTCTCCTTCATCTTTCCTCTTTCCAGGTTATGAGGGTGTTTCGGAGTTTTTCACCGATCTCCTGAACCACATAGCTGCTGTCCTGCAGGGTCAGGTGCCTGAGGTGACCCAGCTAAACCGCAGCAAGCTCCTGGCAGAGCAGACGGGGGGGATCATGGACGAGCGGATATGCTGCGCCAGCACGGGCTGTCTCAGCGTGATGGGAAAAGACTCCTCCTGGATTGTGGAAAGCGAGACCAACAGCTCAGTAAAACTGCAACACCAGAGACTAGGCTGCAACTCAGCAGTGTCCCCCAGCTTCCAGCAGCACTGCGTCGCTACGTTGGCAACAAAAGCTTCTTCTCAATAACTTGCCAATGCCACGGACAGAGAAAAAGCCACAGGGATACAGATTGTGGTCCCAGAACTAGATCAGGCTGTAACAATACAATTGTGAATAATGAAAAAAAAACACAACCACAAAACACAACACAAAAAAAGCAAAATTAAATAAAACCTTCCATTTGATTTAACCTGATTTGCTGATGAAATGGACTGAAAGGTAGAGGGCGAGAATGATTCAGATCCATTTTGTCAGATTCCAGTTGCAAATCTGTAGTGAGTTTACACACACATGGGTTTTAACACTAGTCCTTTCATGGTGGGAGGGTTGCTCTTTCATTTCTATTGTTCTTTGTAATCACTGGTGACCAGCATTTTGAAACCAGACCTCATGGTGTCAAGAATATAATAATGTTGAAATGCAGTGTCTGAATGTAACAGTGCTAGAGATTTTTGCCTAAAATATTCCCTGTTCCCTTTTTCCAGGTAGGCCATTGCAAAAGAAAGCTAAGACAGCTTCAGTATCACTAAACCAAATCTCCTGAAACGTTGACCGGTTGGGACGCTGACAGGTAGCTTGCTGTGAAGCCGTGGCACTTTGGGACAGAGCAGACTGATTGTTCAGGGGACTCAGTTCCAGCTTTGCTGTTATTCCCCCAGGTCTCATTGCTTCAGTCAAAAGCAGCTTCTAACCATGCTTGGCATCAGTGACACGTTTGATCCAGGCAGGGTGTTGATAGTTGGGTTGAGTGATTTAGTAGATTAAATGTTATCCTTTCAGTCGTCTGCCAGTGGTGAAGTCCTAGAAGGGTTAATGGTAGCAGCAGAGAATGTAATTCTCCCTCCATTGCACTTGTGAGGACTCTGGGACAGCTCTGCAGAAAGGCTGGCAGACAGAGCCATGCGCTTTCCCTGGAGCAGTGCACCCGATCTGTGGATGCTAAGAGGTAACGCAGTTGCTGCCTTCCACAGATCCATGCTGCCATGCATTTCGTTTTTCTTTTGCAAATTAAATACAAGCAGAATTGTGTACATTGTGTGAGGTAGAAGTACACGACAGCTCTGACTTGGAGACTGCATTGTTTTGTTGCAAGCTGCCAGCTGAAGCCGTGTGGTCATTTACAATAGTGCTTTATATTATTTGTAAACTATAGCATAGCCAAATTGTATCTATTGAGACATGCAGTTAACCTACAGCGTTCACCCTCTGTTGCATCTTCTGGTATCGCAGCATCTTCTGCTGTGGAGAATTCCTGAAACTTTTGCCAATTCTGAACACTAAACTGGAAATATCCAAATCTGTCAGTGCTGAGAACAGAGACACTATTTTGGTAGTCAGAGTGGCCTTCCCTTCCCGATATAAGCCCTTAAATACATTTAAGAGGGGTGGTGTTTAAAAATTTCCTAAGTTAAGCTCCTAGCTTGCAGATACAGGAATTTCTGTCTTTCTGTAGCAGGTATTTGTAAAGTACCCATCACTGCAGCACTTAATACCAGTTAGTTTACTATCCTGTGTTAGATACCTACTCAAAAGGAAAGCATCTAGAGCTTAAAGCCCAGGTAGGCTGTGGAGAGGGGAGTAAACTGTGTAGAAGATGTCACCACACTACCTGCTGGTACCAGTCCTGGGCAGGAAAAAGCTTTGAAGAACGTTGTGTAGCAGTTCTTTTGTGTAAACTATGGGATTTCCTTAGGAGAGATGGGGTTTGTTCCTAAAATGCCATTCTTGGGAATTTCCTGTAGCCAGGATCGGATTTTCTAGGATCAAAGAGATTATTCCACCTCTAGAGGGGTTACAGACCCTTAAGATATTTCTGTAGGGACTGGGAGGACCTTATGAGCGTGGTATCTGTCACGTGCCGAGGTGCACACAAATTCAGCCGCCTTCCTTGGCTGCCGCAGGTCAGTTCTGAGCCGGGCCGTTCCCAGCCCTGGGATGCTCTCAGGCCGCTGGATCCCGCGTTGTCTGCAGCTCGCAGGTGTGGGGCGGTCGTGGTGTGAGCAAGGCAGGGGTACATAGGTAAGCGTTTGTAAAAGAATTCACGATAGACCAAACGTTTCGTAAAGCCATGACTGAAATAAAAGTGACATCGACAATTTGGGGTTTGTTTTTGTTCGTTTAAAATAAAAAGTGTTTTTATGTTTTGTGTGTAACAAAAGATACCCTCAGGAAGGAACTTGCCAGTGCATATTTTTGTATGGTACTTTCTTGTAACAAGCTGGTGGAGTGTTTGTAGATTTGCCTTTTGCTCCCTTTATTACAATGGATTGGGGTGGTTTTTTGGGTTTTTTTTTTTGTTTTTGTTCTTTTTTTATTGGGTGGTGGGGAAGAAGCAATGATGTTAGAGCTGGGTTAGTAACTCAAGACCTTTCAAACTAAGTATGTTTACATGAATCCGAGTGTTGGATCCAATGGAAATGTCTGTATGCTGTTTCCTAGTTAGAACATCAAATAAGAATTTTATTTTCCTGGCTGCCTTCTGAATTTTGGTTGGCCTATTTTGCACTGCTTTATTTCTCCAAAATAAACTACTGAAATATAATTGTGCATTTTAAACTTGTTTACAAATGATTGTTAGAAGTTTATTTTGTAATTCTCTGAAGGCTTGCAGAAATACTATATTTAAATATTACTCCAGACCTTGGCAGTAACTAGAAAACAAGTTTAGGTCATTGGTGTGATCAGTGACATTTTTCCCATAGTCTGTAATTTATTTTTTATTTATCAAATGTATCGGTATCACTTTAATTTACCAGGTGCAGATATGCAGGTACCTGTCGTGATGTGGCATTAAAATAGAGTTTTCACATAAATTACCATGCAATTGCTGTACTATTATATTTCCTTGCAGAAATTATTGTTACAGCTCGTATACTAGAATGTTGCTAAATCACAGGGGCAAACTGGGAGACCAACTTTTAAAAGCCAAACCTGTAAATTACCAAGTATCCAGACATACAATTACATTATTGCAAAACATTTGAGCATGCCTATGTTATTAAGCCTGTGCTAAAGTGCTTTTCTGAATTGCTGCCTCGTTTGATAAGTTCAAGATAGTTTTGATATAAGATAAGCTTCACAGTAAGGTAGTTAATATTCTCTAGTCTTGTCCTTTTTTTTTGTAAAAGTAGAGGAGTTGAGTAGTATTAGACCATACCAGAATGCCCTTGCTCTTAAAATTGCGGACAATCTGAGGGAGAGTTTCCATAACGTCTGTTTGTATTCTGTTATTGCGGGTTAGAAAAGGTTCTGCTGTGTTTTCCGAGGCATAGCTATCATTGCTGTGTTGATGGGAGCAATTACAGTAAAATTACATGGTCACCAGTTAGCTTATTAGGGATCTACTTCTGTTCTGCTTCACTGTTAGAAATCCACAAGAACACCGTTAGCTTGACTGGAGTTTCTCCAGGGTTTGTGTCAGCATGGTGGAGGAGATGGGACCCTGGTTATCAGCTTCAGTAGGTGAAGGTTTTTCCTCATTGAAGAGAACTAGAGTGGCGCCATTACCACCTGTGATGCGAAGCCATCCCCATCCTCCTCCGCTCTCGCTGGCTTTGCCACATTAGGCTTGGGTTTGTAATGGCTGCACCAGAACATCCCCAGCTGCCGAAATGCAGCCTAACCAGGAGCCCTGGTGCTGACACTTGTGGTCCAATGCCATTTTGCCTTTGGTTAACCTCGTCTGGATGTTCAACCTCTGTGCTGCAGGATCCAATTGACCAAGTTGGTCACTATTTTTATTCATGCTCTTCAGTCTGTTGGGATGATAAAAGCTGCTTAAAGATTCCCATCCTCAACATGAGGATGTTTTTGCAGAGGAGGTCTGCAGCAGGTTGCTCAGATGGGAAACCACCAATCAATTTGTGTTCATCATAGATGAGTACAAATTAAGAACCCATTCCTGAGGCTTCACGAGGTAACAAGGATTGCCCAAGATGAAGCCTCATGTTCTCCACATTAACTGTATCCAGCCAGGGAACAACCAGGTGGAGTAGCAGGTGGGTAACAGAAACAGGATACAGGTCAAAGGCAACAGAATAAATGGGGCCAGAGGTGTTTGGATTGGCTGGCAAAAAGGAGAGAAACAAAGGAAAAAAGCTCCTGTTGTTTCCATCCAATAGAAAAAACCCCAGGCTTATCAGTTCATAGACTAACACTGGTTTCCCAAAGTCTTTGCGTGGCAGCAGTGACAAGTGAGTCAGGCTTTTTCACACCAGCTTGCAGCCTTCCCTTCCACAGCTGTGCAGAAAATCTTGGATTTTGTTTTTTTAGTGAATAGAGTCTGTTTTGAGTTTGTAGCAGTCTCCCCATGTGCACATTTGCAGGAGTTCACTTGCATTACCCTGCGAATTTTCTTTTCCTCCCTCCTTTTTATTAAGAGATGTATTGATTTCTGTATTCAGTATACAGTTACTTTATGGTGTTGCAGCTGTGTGTTTTGTAATTAGGGGTATGTGAAAATGCTTTGTGTAGATTAAAATATTTCTTTTAATATAATCTCCTCTTGCTTTCATAGATAAACAGACACACCGTTGCAGATCACATTGCTGATTTTATTTGTAATATTGCTTTAATATCTATTTCAGAGGAATGTAACCTCCAGAAAAGTACCTTCCACACCTTCACTACCTTTCCTTTCCCTCTTCACTCTGTGTGGATCCAGGCCATCAACACTTGAGCTTTTGACCAAATGGGTTTCAGATCCTCCTTGGATTCTGTTGTGTTTATGTGGCCACAGAAATTATTAAAGATTGTTGATGTTTGAGAGGATCAAGGTATATATGGAGATGTTAGACCGATTCCTCAGCAACACAAGCACAACAGCATCTGTAGCAAGCGAAGGGAATCGTTCTTGCTGTGTGTGTGTCGGTGGCTGCTGGGGTTTGGTCCACCCCTGCTGCTGGTACAGGTTTTCTGTGGAAGAATCCACTGTGAGAAATGTCCTGTAACTGTGATGGAGAGGTAGGGCTTGGGAGTGAAATTGTGATACCAGTGGGATTTCACTCCACCTTTTTTTGTACCAATTTGGGGAGATGATTTGTCTTTCTCTCCATGTTTCTCAGTCTGAACCCACTGGGACTGATGCCAGCAGATGCCCATGGGCCACAAGAGCTCATTAGACCTTGCCCAGTGTGCCATGAGTTTGCAGAGAGCTCCTGACGTGTTGGGAGGTTTTTGTTGATGGCCTGGAAATCTCTTGAAACCCCAGAAATAGCTGAAACAGCAAACGGAGTTCATGAAAACCAGGTCTTCCTTTTCCCTCCTTTTTAAGGAAACCCATGTTTGATTTCCTTCTTCATACTTTACACAGTAGTTTTTAGATATAAATTATTTTAACATTTTTTTTGTGTGAAAAGTCATATATACATATATGAAGTTATTAAAAAGTTGAGTATATGTTGAGTATAAAATAGTGACTTCTTTGTTTCAGATGTTAGCAGCCCCTAAAAATGAGTTGTTTATCCTCTTGTAAAGTCAGTGCTGTAAAAAAAAAATATTAGAAATAAAAGATGTATTAGATGTATCTTTTATTATTTATTTCTGATTCAGTATTTGATACAGCTTGTGTATACCCTTGTGAGAACCACATACTGAAATGCAGTCTTTTTTAAAATGGAGTAACAGCAATTCCTTGGGATCCCAACAATTTTGAGGAAACTGGCCCTCCGGGTGTGAATGGTGTTGGATGCCATCCTTCACTCTCCAGCGTTGCTCCCACCTAAGCATGGCTGAATCTTGGGGACCATTTTGTGTATGTGCTAAGTTTCGCAAGTTCATCGATGTCTGTGTTCAGATCCAGCTGTACGGTGTTACCGTGTGTCTTGTGGTTCGCTTCAGCCCGGTTCACTATGATTTCTGAAACAGCATTCCCGTTTTGTACTTAAATTTGTATAGAATGATATAAACCCTTAAAAGATCATGGCTTACTGTAAAAACCAAAAATATTAGCTGTTTGGCGTCTTCAATTGCATGACTGATCAGATCTGACAATGAAGATGGGTGCTTTCATCTAAGAGCATTGATTTCAATGGTAATATATTCATTTTCTTTTCATTTGCCGAGCACCTGTTTTGGACAATGTTTTGGTTTCCACAGTAAAGCAATATGCAGTAGGTATTGTGGCATTATCTCTGTAATTGTTTTGAAGACAGAATTGTCCCTTTCCAACACGTAATGAAAATAAATGCCTTATAACAAGTTCTACTTTGCTTTCTCTTTACGAGCAGATAGGGCGGCGAGGTGAGCAGTGTTTTCATGAGAATTTGGTTTTCACATCCTTTCCCAGTGCCGCTGTTTGCAGTTACATTGGACCTCCTTGTGCCAGCACCACTGATAAGCGAGGCTGCCTTGGTTTTGTTCTGATTTCTAAGACCAGTGGGAAGTCAGCTATTTATATCTTACTGCACAACACAGCTAAACCTCACTGGAATGCAGGCTTCTGCTGTTCTTAAGCATTTATTCCTAGCATAGGCTTCTGGAACAATTCCTTCATCATCCTGGGTAGGGAATTCTTGATTTCTCAAAACCTAGCAGGATTTTTAGTCAGGATCCCATTTTGGCTAGTGCAGGAAAGATGAATATCTCACCTAGAAGCATTAAATTTTGCTAAGCAATAAGCAAGGGCACTGGTGTAACCCCTTCCTGGGATCAGCGCTTGGTGCCAGCCCCAAGGCCGAGGCTGGCATTTGCGGGCAGGTGAGGCAGCCTCCCAAGCCCAGACCTCCAGCCTTGAACTCCTTTTTTGCCTTTGAAGAAAGTCTTTGGGTCCCAAGCGTTTGTGATTACTTGATTACCCAATAAGACAGAATTTATAGTAGCTCCATCGAGTAACATTGTTTCTCCTTTTGTTGATTTTTGGGTCACAGTTCTGCCTGTGACTGCCATCCTTTGTGGAAGAACATGTCTGACTCCTTTGGAGGTTGTGCCTGTGGTGGGTTGTTTGGTTTTGTTGGGTTGGTTTTTTGGTTTGGAGGTTTTTGTTTTGCCAGGGTTTCTGTGTATTTATTGTGACAGATAGACATGAGTTTGCAAGGAGCTGTATGGGAGATGCTACCTGCAGACACTGCCACAAAAAAAGGAGAAACTAAGTACAATATTCAAATTAAAATGTGAATGAAGATCAATATGTAAAATGTGACTTTTACAGCTGGGTTAACTCCCCAATAGCTGACATTTTAGTACTGTTGTCATGGAACAGCTTCAGTTTCACTCCTGTCCCTGTGCATGTTTCCCTGGGGTTAATGAGAGTGCAAGTGCCTCAGGATGGGGCTGCGACACTCACATCTCCCCGGTGTATTTTCCCTAGCCTGGTGCCGAGGGGACCCCACACACCCACTCCCAGTGCAAGTCACTCTTTGGGCTAACAGCACTGGTGTTTTTTAGCACAACAAGGGAATATGTTGAGTTCAAAGCCTGGCAGCTGTTCTCTTGGCATCATGGCTGTCCTGTGGGCCACAGGTGATGGGAAACTGAGTTTCAACCTGTAGGGTGGGATCCAGCCCTGGCAGTGGAGCACTCTTTTCCTCTCCTGCTGATACACGTAGAAAATCTAAAATCTTATGATTGGTGTTCAGAGACTTTCAGGACAAGCTTCCCCAGCCCAGGCACCATCAGTGCTCCAGCCGTGTGGCTTGAAGCCCCCAGGGAGGTTCTGCCTGTTGGTGCTGTGCTGGCAGGACATCATGGCTGCTGCGAGCCAATGCGCAGGAGAGGCGTCCCCTCAGGACCGGCCTTCACCTCTGGGGGAACACAGACCATTAGTTTTCCTCATGGTTAGCCTATTTTTAACTTTTTTTGGTTAAATCCAAACAGCTTGACTTGGTCAAGTATTGCCCCAGGGTTTAACCTTCTAAACTGCTTTCTGAAAGTAGTGTTTCACTGAAGCACCTGGGACCCCCAGCGCTGGGCTCTACGGCACCGCCAGGCCCCAGGCAGGCAGGGAGAGCCCCACCATGCTCAGGACTTCGGGGAGGCATTCTCCATGCTGGGCCATTGGCGGGCAGCAGCGTTGGAGCCTGGGCAAGGAAGGAAACACCACAACAACATCTGTGAGGGGAGGCCTCCGTTCCCCCTCCTGTCCTCCAGGACTGTACAAGCCCCGCAGTGTGCTTGCAACCGAGACTGAAGCTGCCAAAACAAAGGAAGGAACCCACTACAGTTTTATTTTTCCTTAGATAAATTTTTTATATAGAATATATTACAGTCAGAGTTCTCAGCTTTTAATCAAAAGATAACAAGTTATTGCAGTTTTTTTACCCAGTGAAACTACCGGTGAAAGAAGAACTTTCTAGAAAGCTGTCTTGTCATTTAAAAAAAAAGAGGGAAAAAAAAACCCCCACCCGGACAGAAAGGACACACATAGGTTGCACTTCGTGCCCACCAGTGCCCGGCCAAGCGGGTGGGCATCCATGCGGACAGGGGAGCGTGAGGTGAAGAAGCGGCAATGGGCACAACACTATGGCGAGGGAGGCGGGCCTGGGCGCTAGCGAGGTCGGCTTCCTAGGCACGATGCTTCTGCTCCGGCTTAATTGCTTTTAAATCAGGAAATGAAATTGCGGTGAGGAGGGAAGAGGGCGGTGGCGGCTGTTGCCTGCATGGGGCACGTTGGGGCCCTCAGCCTCGCCTCAGCTCGTGCAGCTTGTGGGCGACACGCTCCAGCTCAGCTTCGATGGCAGCCAGGCTCTCCAGCTCCTGGTCCTGCAATACAAGCCCAGGACACGCATCAGTGGCCATGGATGGGCTACCCTTGACCACCCTGAGCTGTGGAAAGCCTTGCCTGGGGCTAGCTGTCAGCAGTGGCATGAGCCCGCTCCTGCATTTACTTCTCCTCATCTGTGTGCAACACTAATTAGTCCCGTCCTAATGTTAAATGGCTGTGATGGGGACAAGACACATAACCCTCATCCATCCCCGGCCCCACTGCCAGGCAAGGCAGCCCCCACCAGGTCTCTACCTCCAGAGACTGGGGCTGGGTGACTGCCAGGGAGCTGGGGCCAGGGCAGGGGCTGCCAAATGGCACTGGGCACCTGTGTTTAGGTGGTGGTGTCAAACTGGGACAGGTTTGGGACAGGCCGCACGTGCTCACTCATGGAGAGGACAGCTGTGTCCTCTCTCCCCACATTGCTCTGGGTGCCCACATGTGCCTCCAGTGCCAGAAGAGGCCTTTCCATTTGGGGAAGTAGGGACTGAGGAAGCCAGCAGTTTAAAGGCTCAAGCTGCCCACTGCTGGGTGGCCTTTCCATAGCGGCTCTTGTGTGTCTATGCCATCACCTGAACCTATTTTATTTAGCACAGGTACTCAAACTCGTAACTGCATGACTTTGTCTGAACTCCGATCATACGCAGCAGGCCCTATCTCGCTGCCAGCCCCGGCCCTGCCTGTCCCTCCAGCTGCATCACCTAGAGCTCGCTGCAGATCTAGTGGTAAAAGTACCTTCTCCTGCCAGAGGAAAGCTCTGGCAGAGCTGAGATGTCCACCCTCATAACTGTGTTAAAAAAAAAAACAAACAACAAACGTCATTTGTCTCATCCTTGAGCCATTTTCCTGAACAAGTTACAACTCACCCTGTCCCTCATCAGGGCCCATGGCTCAGCCCCTGGGAAGGCTCTGGTCACTGCACTGTGCTTAGCCTCAGCAAGTGCAGGAGACAGCACTGACAGCCCCTGGCTGTGCCCACACTGGCCTCAGTGGCCAAGCAACGCAGCCACATGGCCCAAAAGCCAGAAGAGGGGACAGGGTGCCAGCTGCTCCAGCAGAGCTAAAGCCTGTGCCTTCCCTTCCCTCACTGCCAAGTGCCTGGGCTGACACCACCTTACTGTCTCCCAGAGGCCCTGATCTAGTTTCTTAAAAAACAACCAAAAATTCCTGTCACAACCGTAAACAGAGCAGTTTTACAACCTCAGCAACCTCCTTCCTAGTCCCTGTGCAGAGGCTGAGCCCACTGCCTTGAGGCGAAGTGCACCCCTGAGCCGCTGGCAGAGGCATGTGGGGAACAGCCTTTTTGGGGGAAGAGACCCAGGGACACGAGCAGACGATGGTGAGGAGGCAGACGAGGCAGGTCTCCATCTCCTCAGCAGGCACCCACTGCATCCCTGCTCAGAGCTAAGACATTTGGCTTTGCTTTGACCCAGCACGACTGGAGAGGCCCCCTCAGCAGGGGATGCTGATGGGCAACCTTTGGGCAGTGTTTTGATGTGTTACTAAAGCAAGAGGGGTACTTTGGAGGCAAGAGAGGTGCAGCAGACTGGCTCCACTCACCTGCTGCCCCAGTCTGTTCTCAGGCACCTGTTCATGGCTTGTCCCAGAGCAAAGCCCATGCCTGGCCCCACCATCCAGCCCTCTGTGCTACCCCAAATAAACATCCATGCCTGGAGCTGGGCCTCAGCACAAAGGCAAAACTACTGCACCTGGCTGTCAGGTAGGTGCTGAGCTACAACACAACACAGCACAGCTACCACATGAGGTACCCAGGAAAGTGGTCTCTGACTTTGGAAGTCTGGCTCAGCTGTATTCCCATATCTGTCAACCATGACTACACCCTGGCTTGCCTCTATAAGGGGTCTGACACTACTCACACCGTCCCTGAGCCAGAGGAAGCCTTCCCTTTGACTTGGAGAGACTCTGGGACACAAGACCCAACCCCAGGCTTCCGAGACAGTTCTGGTCACCATGTCCAGCACAGACCAATGCAAAAGTCCTCTCTCATTTTTAAGATTCTGTGGTGCAAGGGATGTTTCTGCAGGAGTCACTAAAACAAGGATAAAAACCAAAGGCACTGACAGGTGCAAATCTCAGTGATACCTAGGGTTGAATGACTAGAAGGTCACCAGGATCTCCTTAATGTCACACAGCACAATGCCAAGGTACCATTGACATGTCCAAGCATAGTTAGGATTCCCAAGTAGTAACCAAGAGGGATTTATTCTTAAGCTTACGTACACCAACCTCCGTTCTCCTGTTAGCGCTGCCTTCCTCGTCCTTCTTTTCTTCGGGCATGGGACCAAGTGGGAAGCCTTCACTGCTGTCCTCCTTCGAGTGATGCTTCCACGACCTTCTCACATCTTCCTCTGGACTACTGAAGTCATACTTGCGGGATCTGAATGCCATTTTCATGGATCTGTCTGGGTCTTCCTCACTGTCGTTGTCCTCCATACGCTTCTTCGATGTCAGCTGCTTGGCCAGCTCATCCATTTTGTTCCACCTCTTGGAGTCTTCCCACTCCCTGGAGGACTCCTCCTCCATCTCTTCACTTTTAGCATCCCTGGGCTGGAAGGTGTCCTCCTCCTCCTCCTCCTCCTGCATCCCCTCATCTTCTAGGTGATGCCTTCCTCCTCTCAGTGCCCGGGGCTGCTCCTCCTCCTCCTCCTCCTCAGAGCTCCGCCCATCTTTGCCAAATCCCAGAGCATCATCATTATCTGAAAGAGCATAAAACACAACAGTTAGCACAAGTGTTAACCTGGTTATGCTCCACCTTTGATCCCAGCCTTCAGGGATGATGAAAAGTGGGTTTCCTGACTTTGGTCCATTTTCCCGGGATTCTGGAAATACTCACACTCACATCACCATGGCAGTAACAGGGCTTGGAGGCAGCAGTCAAAAACCATGTGGGAAATTAATTGTCCCCAGGTGCTACGAAAACAGAGCAGCAAGCATCTGCTGGGGCTGTGTTACCCACTGTACGTGGGTCCATGTGGTAGGGTGCTTGTGGGGGGGGGGTGGGGGGGGGGTTGGGGAGGGTGCTTGGGGGGGGGGGTCTGGGTGGCTGTTGGGGGTTATTTCTGTAAACCCAGAGAGCGTCTGCCTGGACTTATGGGCTTTAAAGCCTTTTATTGGTCTATCCCAGTACTCTCAGCTCACCCAGGGTAGATATCAGGGCAGTCTGGGATACGTACTGTCGTCTCCCTGCATCTCCTCAGCCTCCTCGTCCTCCTCAGCCAAATCGAGTGATCTCTCTGCTTCGGTCGGGTCCTCCTCTGCAGCATTCTCCCACTCCACACGCTCCCCTCCCTTGTTCTGCTCCTGGCCCTGCCTGGGTGGCTGCTCTCCCTCGTCCTCCAGCTCCAGGCTGTCCCTGGGGCCTCTGGGCTGCTCCTCTTCATCCTCTTGCTGCTGCCGCCGCTCATCCTCACTGAAGTCTTTGATAATGTGGTTGTCCAAAGCTCCATCTTGCTGAGCATCCTCTGAACCCCTGATCTCGTTGCTCTCCGCTTCCTCCTGATCCTCCTTCTCTCCAGGGTCAGCATCCCGTGGCCTGGGCTCCCTCTCCTCCAGGCTGTTTTTTCCCTCTTCTCTTGAATCTTCATTTTGCTGGGTTTTCTGTGCTGCCAGCTCAGCCAGGGGCTCCGCGGGCTGCTCCCCTGCCGCATCTGCAGAGGGAGGAGCAAGAAGCAACACCTCTCCTGAGAGCTCATTTCCCCAACAACGAAACCCTTAGGGAGCTCCAGCCCTGCTCAGCAATCTGCTAAACCAGCCCATGGATCCCTTCACAAGGGATCACTTCAACATATGCTTGTGTTGGAGAAAGCTGGGGCTATCGCTGGTGCCTGCTCTTGAGGAAAGACTCGTGAAGTTGAAGCTAAACATATGCCCAAGTGCTTTGCTGCGGCACAGTCCTCATCTCCAGCTCTTGAGATGCCAGCAACAAACTTGACCTGCACGAAACCAGGTCACACGTAAAATGAAAGGATTTAGGAGTGCGATATGTCACTTCCACGGCTCTCCCTGCTCTGAGTGCTGCACTAACATCACACCCTTGTGTCTCCCACTGGGTTGAAATGGGAGCCAGTGCTGTTTGCGGCTGAGCCGGAGGGAGCTGAGGCCGACTCTGCCTCTGCAAAACAACAACTCAGCGGGAGCTTAATGTGGGCTGGGCAATTGCTCCTGCTCATGTCACAGACTGGCCTCTTTGAACATAATTAGCCATAGAAATCACTTTGCAGAAGAAAAGATGGGGAGAGGGCATGGAAAGGTGAGCACAGCCCCAGGCAGGGCTGAGGAGAGCACTGGGACGAGAGGATGCAGAGAGCCTGCAGACTTGGACAGCCCAACGTGCCATGCTTCATCCTCATGCAGTCTCCCCACTGCTGGAGCAAGAGGTTTATGTCTTCCCCGGTGGGAGGTACAGCCAGAGCCACCTACCCTCTCTGCTGGCTTTTGGCCATGCTGGCTGCAGCTGCAGCCCCTGGGGTATCACTCCTCATTGCCTCGGGAAGCTTTGGGCTGTCATCGTGGCATTGCTGGTCTGCTGTGGCTCAGCCACATGCCCCAGAACCCACTCAAGACCCTTTGTGATGGTGCTGCTGCTGGACAAGAAACTATCTCGCCCCACATTGGCATCATCTCCTCCTGACGTGGAAAAGGGAAGAGGCTGAACTCTCCTTTCTGCTACACTGCCTGTCTCTGCCCAGGTCACAGAAACCTGGTGACAAGGGGAAACCCCAGCAGAATGAGGTCTTTCCAGGACACAGGTGTTTTGTGTGGGTGTGTGCACTGTGTGTATCCCAGGTTCAATTTTCCCTTCAGAGACCCACAACCTCATATCTGGGATGCCTGGAAACAAGGGTGGCAGGAGCAGACCCAGGTTGCTCCTGCCTGTATCACCGAGTCTTTCAGTGTGTGTGGGGTTTCCCTGACTGACTCATTTTAAGCATTAGGAGCGAGTGCTGGTGCTAGCAGGAGGCTGGAAGAGATCAGTATCGATTTGGTAACTTGACCGTCACTGGCTACTATAGCTCGGAAATTACCCATTGTTTGAGCTGATAAATAAGAACAAAGCAAACACTGCGTTGCTTGTGTGTGTGTCAAAGGCAGCATCAAAGACGGCGGCTAAATGAGAAGCAGATGGACGCATCAAGGCTGTTGGAAAGAACATCCCTGTTTACTGTCTGACCTGGATTTCCTGGTGGGGGGAGGCTGACACTGACCTCTCAGCTTGATCCTGTCGTTCTGAGTTTCAAGGACTTCGGAAAGTTCATCTTCAAAACCACTGTTTTTCTTCTGCTGCTGAGTTCTCTCATTGGCACCTGCATCAAGGAACAAAAGGTAGGGAAAAGCAACGGCCCCTCCTGTGTATCAGAAAGCAGTGGTAGGAAAATACTTCTGTGCCCTTTATAATTTTGCGCATATTTTCTACAATGGACAAATCTGCCAAAAGGGAGCTATGAGGAGAAGCGCAACTAGAGGGTATGTGAATCAACTGCAGTAACAAAGTCACCATCTAAAACATCATCTGCAGGGACGAAAAAGGTCTCTAAACAAACAGAGAAGCAGGGTTGCTAGGAAAACTAATATTGATGAAGGGCTGGGGAATAAGAAATGCTGAACTGCAGTGCATTGAGGCCAACAAAAGACTTAAATATCAGAGTACAGAAGGATAAAAATTGCCTGCTGCCAGATGCTGCCCATGTACCTCTCTGCAGTGAGCTCTGAGAGCCCTGTGCCCTCCTGCCTGCTCCTGAGGACCCCGCTCCTCAGGATGCTAGGAGGGAGTAACACAACTGAGGAGAGTCTGGTCCCATCCTCCTGACCTCCACCCTTTAGATATTTATAAGCATCAATGAGATGTCCCCTCAGTCTCCTCTTCTCCAGGCTAAACAGCCCCAGCTCTCTCAGCTGTTCCTTCTATGGGAGATGTTCCAGTCCCCTCATCATCTCAGTGACTCTACGCTGGACTCTGTCCAATAGCTCCTTGTCCTTCTTGAACTGGGGAGCCCAGAACTGGACACAGTATTCCAGATGTGGCCTCACCAGGGCGGAGTAGAGGGGGAGGAGAACCTATCTGACCTACTGACCACACTCTTCTTAATACACCATTGCCATTGACGTTCTTGACCACAAGGGCACAGTGCTGGCTCATGGACAGCTGCTGTCCACTAGGTCCTTTTCCCCTGAGCTGCTCTCCAACAGGTCAGTCCCCAACCTATACTGGTACATGGGGCTGCTCTTCCCCAGATGCAGTACCCTACACTTGCCCTTGTTGAATTTGTTTCTTCCCACTGAAGTCTCCAGCCTGTCTAGGTCTCACTGAATGGCAGCAGAGCCTTCTGGTGTATCAGCCAGTCCTCATAGCTTTGTATCACGAGCAAACTTGCTGAGGGTACCCTCTGTCCCAACGTCCAGGTCATTGATTAATGTATTGAACAGAGCTGGACTTGGTGCCGACCCCTGAGGAACAGCACTAGACACAGGCCTCCAACTAGACTCTGCCCCACTGACCCCAACTCTCTGAGTTCTGCCCTTCAGCGAGTTCCCAATCCACCTCACTATCCAGTTATCCAATCCACACTTCTGAAGTCTGGCTGTGAGGGTGATATAGGAGACAGTGTTGAAAGCCTTGCTAAAGTCAAGCTAGACCACATCCACTGCCCTCCCCTCAACTATCCATCCACTTATGCCATCGTAAAAGGCTGTACTGGAATTCCTGGAACCGTATGTCCTAGGGCACATTTATATCATGTCAAATTAATGTAAAATGCAAAAAAACCCCAAACAACAAAGCTGTGCAAGGAGCTACAACAGATTAAACACCTCTTTCTGAAGAACTATAGTGACATTGTACCTTGAGCAGCGATTTCCTGAAGTTCCTTCAATAAATTTTGGTGGCGAAGGATGGAAATTATTCGTTCATCTGCAATAAGGGAGACTTTGTACAGAAGGTGGTCAAAGACAGCTTCACCCCACCCCCAGGAAACGAAAAACACCCCCAATTACCACCTCCCTCTTCGTTTACTCCTTTCTCTTTGTTGGCCTGATTTGCTACTGCATCTCCTAACCATGTGGTTAAGATGACAAGAAGGTCCCATGAAAACCAGGTAGCACCATGTCACCCAGCACTCCCCTGGCCACGGTGCCAGCATGATGCATGGCCCGGGCTGAGCAGCAGCTCTCTTCCTGCTTCTGGGGCCTGGTACAGCCCAATGGGGTGACCGTGACAAGGTGAGTGTGTCAGGTGCTAAGACGTGTCAGGGCAGGACCAGCCCCTGCTTGTGTCTCTGCCAGCTCTGCTCTTGTTTATACCCAGCATTAAATCTGAGCCCGTACCTCCTCTGAGCGTTTCTAGGCATTCCTCACTGATCGGAAGGGGGTTTGGCTTTGATAAAGTATCAGAGATGACCTCTACAATGCACTTCATCACCTAGAAAGAGACAAAAATATAGATTAAAGCACTGCTTTTTTGTCATTTTTTCCTAAATCTATTTGTTACCAAGGGTAAAAGGCAGCAGATGATGGCACAGACCTTCTTGCTTTTCTGGTCAAGCCAGAACTGAGTGTTCGGTTCCTGTTTTACCTAAAGCAGGAACAGAAGGTACCTCCCAAAGCTGAGAAGTGAGCAAATGACACATGGCAATGGAAAGAGCTTTTTCAATATGACACACGCTTCAGCTGAGGATCTCACAGCTCCAGCCCACCCCAGGGGCTGGGCACATCAGGACATTAAAGGGGATATGGATATATACATAGAGAGCTCAAAATCATCCTCTTTTAAGTCAATATAGCTGAACCTGCATCTCATAAGAGGGCTCTCATTGTAGAGAGAAACAAGTGGTCATAGCTCTTCAACCTTGAAATGTCGCAAGCTATTTGAGTTCTGGAAAGGGCACCATAGTTAGACTGCAGCCAGACACAGAGGGCAAGATAAGGCAAATTGTACTTTCAGACACAGATGAGAACTACTGCTCTAAAGCTATAGAGAAGGACAAGACACTGGAGAAGTGTTTGACCTTGTGCTTGAGTGTTCAAGCTGTCTATTATAGAGTGGAAGAGCTGTACACAGAGGCAGGTTATCTGAAAGCAAGGAAGCTCCCACACTTTCCTCGGAGGCAGTTGCAACTGCCTGAAGCAGCTCCCTAGACAGGATGACCTCTGGGCCTGCTCTTTCCAGCAGCTTTTTTCATTGGTGTAAAATGAGAAGCATGATTTATCCACTTTGTCACCTGTACTGACGTTGCAGGCCTAGCTCTTCACCCGTGGAACTGCAGCACCACTGATCCCATGGGGAACATCAGTGTGGTACATGTGGTAGAACAAAAAACTGCAGGCGCAAAGGCAAGGTGACACCTCTGGCAGGGGTGACAGCACCCTTGCCATGCTGAGACGCATCACCAGGAGCCCTGCTGTGTTTGTCATGGTAAACCCAAAAGGTCACACAGGAGAGAAAGCAGCATTCACGACAGTCCGATGCTGGTTAGTAGTGCAGGAATCAGGCTGCCCAGTTCAAAAGGTTGCTTATTTTTAAAGCAGCCCAGAAAGTAAGCAGGGCTTACAAGCGCCTGTGGAAAAAGAGAGGCTAAGTTGAAAAGAAAGGATACAAGTAAGCCTTGGAGACAAAAATTCACTCACTGAACCTCTTTCTTCTGATGATTTCTGTAGGCAGCCCTAAGAGCCTTGACCTCCCTCCCAAGGTGCCATTCTCAGGAGAGCAAAGCACTGTGGCTGCAGTAGAAATTAAACACAAGTCAGCAATTCACAGTCATCTACAATGCTGCTCATTCAAGCAATCAGATATATTCACTGACCAGATGGAATAGGCAAATTTTCACCCTGTGTGAGGAGAGAATTCTGCTTTTGTAGATCACAGCCATAAAATGCTGAACTCTTAACTACTTACAGAGTTTGAGGGGATTGCCTGCTGGATTAAAAATGTTACAGGAAAGATCTAACAAAAAAGAAAGTAGGGAAATTTCCATGGTATCATTCTCCTATACCACAAAGCACCCATTAACATTGATTTTAGATGACTTCAAGTCCCTTCACTCTGCCATTAAATAGAACAAACCCCAGATTCTGATACTTTCCTTCCACATTTCCCAATCTCTGGAGCCACTTATTCCAGCAGTACTTGATGCAACTTCAGAGGTAAGGACATTCTCAGCATGAGAAATGAGAACCTGGTCTAATGAAACAATATACAAGCTTTTTGAAGACTTCTAAACTGATTTAAGGTCTTTATCTGAACACAAAGAGACACATCAGTCACCAGTTCTGCCAACTCTGTGGGGGAACTTTGAAATGTAATGAAATGAAATGAGAACTGCAGTCATTCCACAACACTCTCCTTGACTTTTTGTAAAGAGCAAGTCTTGCAGAGTGAGGCTTCACAAGGTCATGAAATCACAACCTGCATCAGGAAATTAAGGGGATCCTTTCCAAATGAATGTAAATAATCCAGAAACTCAGACTGGAATGTTGCCATAGCTATCCTCTAACTGTGAGCATGTAACTAGATCCTCAAGAGCTGCTCATGCTGGCCCTATGCAGAAATTTCTGAAGGATCATGTCTTTACAAGGGTAAACTTTATCACTTTTGAGTTTGGCTATGCTCAGGCCCTTCTGAAAAGTGTGGTTGTAAGTGAGAAACAGTGTCCTTTGAGCACAAGAATGGGCAAACATCAGAGATATTGTAAATGCTTTGGTCATGTTCAGCTCCCCAAGGAAAGTCCTTGGTGTAAGGAAAGTCTGATGAGCCAAATGGTGGTGGAACTGAGCACAGTGTGGCATTCACTGCTGTACCCATGGGATGACATCCCTGTCCTTTCCTGTCCCGTGAGACCAGGAGTTCCTTCACTGAAATCCTGTCTGTCAGAAGGTGGAAAAGCCCTATGAATCCCTCCAGTTGCAGCAAAAATTCAAAGAAAGGTGTGGTCTGATTTTGCTCTCAGCCAGACCTATGTCAGTGCAGCATCCAGGGCAGGCCAGAGTGCCATGAAGGGGCAGGTGCCTGCCCTGAGTCCCCTTTCTCAGTTAGCAGCACACAACCTGAAGCAGGAGCCCAGTGGCTCAGAGCTCATGGCTCAGCCCTGGCAAGGGCTAAGCAGGCTAAAAGTCTTAATGAAGCAACAGCTCTCCAGGCACATCTGACAGGAGACTGGGGAGCATTTTTCATGGCACTTGCCCTGTAGGTAACAACGAGTGGATACACTGTGCAATGAAGCCTGTGGCTGAGAGTGACATGAATGTGTCCTCCTCCACTGCTGCCTGGGGAAAACCACAATGTGGCTAGAAGATTTCTTCAGACAAAGACTTTCAAGAAGTAGGGTAAAGGGGTGATGTTTCCTTTCTAGACATTAATTTCTGTAGAAGTCTTAATTTGAGCAGTTAAGAGATTCGCTTATCTGAAAGACTTACAGTATCAGGAAGGATGGGGGTGGGGATTGTGTGCCACAACACACCTATTCAAGCATTCAGGTGCCAAAAGCCCACTTGGAGTGAACACAGTTGTGAAGTGCAGCTATGAATGTCAGATGTGACACAGATCCATGCACGGAAGCCTATAAAAGAAGGCTGGAGAGGTCAGCCAAGTCACACACCGCTCGTAGCCATCCAGACAGGCTGAGTAGTGGCTGAGGACAGATTAGCAATCTAAGAGCAGCCAAGTGCCTATTTTTTAACAACATGGCTGTTTAAGTGGCATATCACACACATAGAAACAGATGTATACACACCCCCAAACACACACAGTTCCAGCGATGCCCGTTTCTGAATCACATCTCCCCCTACTCCCCTGAGTCACCTCCTATTGGAAGCTTTGAAAAGCTGAAAGTAGGAGGACGGTGGGGGGTTATACCCAACCTCTATCCACAGCCTCACCATTCTCCAGCCAAGCTTATTTGGTCCCTTTGGTACATTCTGAGGGACTTCTCTCCTGCTCAGGTGCCCAGAAGTTAATGTACAAAGGCTAAATCCCGGTAGGGAGGCATTGGGGGCAGAGGGATCCTGCTGTAGGAATCTCATGCAAATCCCTGGCACTTCCTACAGAGCATTTTAGCAGGGGCAGTCAAAAGCCAGCCAGCTACGTGGAGGTTAAGCATCACATTCTTCATCCTCGTCACCCCTTACACTACAGATCCATCCTTACCTTAGTGTCCCCTTTATTCATGTCATTCGTCACGGGAAGGGAGATGGCTGTAAAATGAGGAAAGGGCAAAAAAAGAGAGCTTGTTATTCATCTCCACTGGGAGACAAGTGGAGAAACCCTATCCTGATAAAAAATGAGAGTGATGAAGAGGGGCATCTCACTTTGTTGGAAGTGGTCCTCGGGTGCAGCAGCTAGATGCATGCATTGTGTCCTCTTCCCCCCCAGTCTTTCCTAGGGAAGGGAAAGGAAGGGAAGGGAAGGGAAGGGAAGGCTAATGGCAGGGCCCAGTGGCGCCGACGCGGTCCCCGGACAGTGACCTTGCGGCGGCCGCTGTCCGCGGTGCTGAAGGGGCAGAAGCGGCCGCTGTCCGCGGTGCTGATGGGACAGGCAGGAACGGAGATGGACGGGGCAGCGCTCCCCGCCGGGCTAAGGGTCCCGGGAGTAGGGGGGGGGACACGGACCTCATCCCGGCCCCACTTACCCGGCACGGCCAGGAGCAGGACGGCGAGCAGTTCTGAGCGGCTCATGGTGCTGTCGGGATGGAAGGAGGGAGTCAGGGGCAGAGGGTGAGTCTGTCCCTGGCACGGGGGCTTCAGGCGAGGTGCCGAGGGGATACCAGCACCGTGTGTGTCTACGCCAGTGCCTTGGCTGAAGATCTCAGATGGGGCACTGCAGCAACCGGCTCATTTATATACCTCAGCCCCTCGGAAATGGCGTCAGGAGGAAGCCACCTCCTACTCTCTCCCCCCTCCCCTCGCACACAGCCTTCCCATCAGCCTCCACCTCTCGCCGGGTGCTGGAGAAGTGGCCACACGCCAGGATTCCCTCCGACCCCCATGGCTGCCTGGGCAAAGGGTTCCAGCAGCAAGGTGTCAGGCTTCAGTTCCTCCATCTTCTCACCCTCAGCAGGTGCAGGAAGGTTGTGTGTTTCCAGGCTATCACTTTTTCAGTGCTTCGCCGAGCACTGGCAATCTGCAAGCACCTCTGCATATGTGCCCTCTCTGTACCAGTAGTCAATAGTGAGAGTCCCTTCATATTCCAGCCAGCATAGCCACCTGTAGATAGATGTGCCCTCTAGGGGTGCTCTAGTCCTTCACTGACCACAAAAGCTTCCTAGAAAAGTATTTTAGAACAGATGCTGAAGTTTTTAGATGCCTGTTAAATGCCTCCCACAGAGGACAGAATTGCCTGTAAGTCTGGTTAAGAGCCAGAGAACTGGTCATCATTAAAAACCAGTTTGCCAATGGAAATTGTAAGTCCCAGCTGTTTTATGAAAAAAATTTTTAGTAGTAGCATATCATATGGGATAAATAGCAAAAGCTGGTGATTCTGTTGCTCAGCTATTGTGAATTTGCAAGGAAATTTTAATAGGTTGCTTTTCTTTGTTCAGTGGTTCATAACAACCTATAACATCACCTATACTCTCACTGCTAAGCACTCCAAAGTTGAAGTTAAACAAGATTATCTGGTTACTAATTTCCAGAGAGGAAGTAACAAATTATACCATTCCTTTACTCAAAAGCATTTCCATGCTCTTAAAAAAATGGCTACCTATTCTTTGGATGAAGCTTCTGTCAGGTCAGATAGACAGATTCTCTTTTGAAAGTGAAACCAGTGCTTCTTTAGGACAATGTTTCTTTAGGAATAGCACCTCTGCTAACCTGTACTATCACTCAGGCAATTTCAGAGGTCACAGAATCCAGGGACTTATACTAGAAAACCAAATTCAGAAAAATGCATTGTCGTCCTTCCACACCCTACCTTATTCTGTTCACTGGGGAGTCCTGCATGCAGCAAGCTAGATAGAACGTATCTGTAGTACAATGACAAGAACTTTTCTGTGAGACCAGGGGTACAGACTGCACAACAGGTTTCCAACTTCTCTTTCCATATGTACATGGAAATGTGCTCCCAGATGTGTGCTCTCAAATATGTACTCCTAAGTATCCCCTAGTATCTATGTGATTTAAATGCATGCTTCAAAAGGCACATTTGGATTGCAAAAGCCCACTCATATAAAAGCAAAGTTCTCCTTGTCTGTTACATTTTCTATTGAATAGTAGAGAAAAGCTGGACATAAATTGATCCTCTGAACAGTGCTTCGTGAATAACATTGATTGATGGTTAAATGATTATAAGACCATGAAATGAACACCCATGACAGGAACAATAGATATCCTTTATTTTTTGGTTGTTTGGTTGGGTGTTTTTTGTGTGCAGGTGTGATGTTGAATTATTTATTGGGACATGGAGGGTCTGTGTCATATACAATGGACTTTTACTCCTTCAGAATACATAGAGCATTTTAGTCTCCAAGTCTCAAATACTGAACATCATTAACCTTGTTAATTCCTATGTATTCCCAAGAGAGAAACAGATTGATCTGCTTATCAGGCTATGTTTACCTAGTCAATATTTACTTATCCTAACATATAAATGTTGATGTTATTAGGGCAATAAATTATCTCAGTTCTAATTCAGTTTCTTACATTAAGCCCTTTTGTTCCCTGAGGCCCCTTTATGAGAAATGCAACAGGATATGTAGTGCCCATGACTGTATTTTTTTCTGTCTTTCTCAAGCTGTGGACTTGCATCCATTAAGTTAATTGCAAAGGAGAAACAAAATGTTTTCCAGGTATGGCATGCATTCTCCCAGTGTAGTGGTATATAATGGATGATGAATTTTTCTATATCTTGTCCTAGCAAAATGGATATGAAACTGTTAATCCAGCAATCAGTACTTCTGCTGTTGAAATTTGTCTCATTAGGCACAGCTATATTAGGAACTTTTAAAGTAAAGCATGTCAGGGAAAGATTTATGTCAAAGAGCAAAAGTGATCAAATAAAAAAGTGGAAGGTATTCTGCCACTCAGAGAAAGGCAATGTCGGAACCAGACTTCAAGGGAAGAGCAGATCTGTGAGTCTCTGAAGTAGTTTGTGTTTTAGTATATGGAGAGCAGGAGTAGACCTTCAGTGGGTGGCAAAGTGATGATGGATGTTTCTGAGCAGTTCCAGCCTTGTAAAAAAGCCATTTATGTCTGTAGAGAGCAAGTCCATTTTTCCTTATAGCTGCCCAATTTCTAGTGCATGATGTGCAGTGAGAATGTGGAGAGCCATATACCATTACCTGCCTGTGGTCACTCGCATCACATGCAGGTGGACAGGGAGACAAGTTATTGTGGTGGGAAAAGGAAATTTGCCTTCCTAGCCTGAAAGGTGATTGGAAAAGATGGCAATGTCTGGAGGGGTGGAAGTAGACACCCAGCACTGTTGCATTACTCATGCTCTGAGCTGAGGGAACAAGAGAGCCAGCCTGAAAACCATAATGATATCTGAACATCTTCCTATGCATAAGTTCATTTACTTGAGATACCATGTGACTTGAGTGCTGTTCTCACTCAACACGAGTGAATTGTTTTTCTTTTTAATATTTCAGAATTTAGGAACCAAAGGATCTGGAGTAGGGCTCTGAGCTACTTTGAGAGCTTTGTTCTCTAAGGTCTTGACTGAAACTGGGTTAAGAATTCACTCCTTTCCTGTGCTTGGAGACACTGACACTGCATTTCAGACTGCTGTGGTTTTACAGATCTGGGAACTGAGGCACCGAAAGGGAAAAAGCGTAATTTTCATGGATATCAAAAAGGCTTGAAGCCAAGGCACAGCTATTACCCACACCTTAACCAAAAAGAACACTACGCAAAAAAATAGGCAACAGTTACCTTCTTGCATATGAAACCAATTGATAACTGTGTGTCTGAAAACCTGAATGTAAGTACACTGCCAAATTAGTAGCAAGGTCTATTAGAACTCCCACATCGCACCTTTTCTTCTTTCCCACGTTAGTCAATTGCTCTCACCTCTCAGTTCCCTCATATGAGCCTTGCTCATCTGCCTGTAAATAGAAATGAGCTTCAAAGCCCTGACTGCTGTTGTGAATATCCATCTACACTGTTAAAAGGCAGCCCTCTTTCTTCTTTTTCAGGTCAGAGGCAAATTGATGTTGATTTGCTTTGATTTTCTTAGTCTAGACTCTGCTTGCACCAACCTGAAATTAATTGATATTTCCTGTTCAAAGGTTTACTTACACCTCATAAAAAAGCCCAACGTTGTGCCCAATTCTGACAGTAGCTACTGCTCTGCCTATCCATTTCCATCTTTTCCTGGCATGCACAGCTCTCACTGGGGCAGATGGAGCATGTTCTCTGTTGGGAGAAGAGATGTCTCTGTAGCAATCACAGAATACCATCTGGGCTTGGATCTTAATATAATTTTTCTAAACGTTATTCGAACACCTATCTGGAAAATGTCATAGCACTCCAGTGCCTTGGTCAGTTCACCTAATGCTTAGAGAAAGCCCTCGCTGATTCCTGTGAGCCCTGCTGAATCAGCAAGGAAAGATGTGGAGATGGAGGTTCTCCCCAGCCAGAGGGATCTCAAACAGCCCCTTCAGGAAATTACTGATCATGTCTACAGCTCTGGTTTTATTTGACTTGTGACAGCAATGTCTGTGTCATGCTAATGTACACATTAAGCAACAGAAAACAATTTTCCAGTTCTAGAATGGGGTAAAAGAAGTTAACGGGAAGCCCATTGATACTGCTTGATGTGTACTTACCTCCCAAGTGAGAGACAGGTAGCACCATTAGTGCCCTGCAGGCACTAACAGGATTCATGAGGGAAAAAAAGTAATTACAAGAATGATTCAGGTCTTTGGACCTGCACTCCTCTCCTGGGGATCCGTAAGCTGATCAGACTCCTTCCACGCTGCCAGCAGCTCATAGCTAACACATGGACCCTCAGTCAGCATCAGCATCATCTCAAATTCTGTACATTAAATGACTGTCTGGTATATTTTGTACAGATTCATCTCATACCTCATCTTCTGCCTTTAAACACCTGCTCCTTCATTCCTGAAGTGTCCCAAGCTGTCTGTCCACTCCAGGCCAGCTGCTCAGTGAACACCAAGTGAGGCACAGGGGTACCTGGGTCTCCTGGAATGCCCATACAGCTGGAGTTTGTATACTGATCAAACGCTGTGAGCATGGTATGGGAGGTGTTTTTTGCAACATCAGTTAAGATGTAGTTGTGCTAGCTTTCCTAATTCATGCAGCTGAAGTGACAAAATTTCCAATTAAATAAAAGGACATTTTTTCTAATGGCAGAGTTTAGGATCATGAAATACACAAACACTTTCCATTCTAAATGCTTTCCTTGATCTCCTTGGCTCCCATTGGAAATAATGTACTTGGAGAGTTGAAAAGAAGACTGAATCTGGCCTGCTTCCCTGCCGCTGTTGCAGGAGGGAGGAAAGGGGTGAGGAATGGTCATCTGGGGCACCCGCTGCCCACACCCCTTTGTCACCCAGAAGTATAAGCCACAAAAGCCAAACTTAAGGACTACCAGGGCATTGCTACCCACAAGAATATTCTTCTCAAACAGTGGCAGTAGCGTGTCACTGGAACCAGTTACCTGGAGATGTGGAGCATAAGGACACAGCGACTACCAGTCTGGGTTGGAACAGGGAGCCAGGATGCAGCAAGAGACCCTGGGGCCTCCCCCAAAGGCAGAGGCAGAGGCTGGGGTGGAGACAGGGCCTCTCTCTGTCCTTGTGCCAAGTCGAATCCCAGTTTCCCAACCTCCCAAAAAGCTGGGTATCA